GGAAGTGAGAAATAGATTTAAGGGACTAGATCTGATAGACAGAGTGCCTGATGAACTATGGATGGAGGTTCGTGACATTGTACAGGAGACAGGAATCAAGACCTGTCTTGATGAAAATCCCCAAGAAAATCAAATCCCCAAGAAAAAGAAATGCAAAAAGGCAGAATGGTTGTCTGAGGAGGCCTTACAAATAGCTGTGAAAAGAAGAGAAGCGAAAAGCAAAGAAGAAAAGGAAAGATATTCCCACTTGAATGCAGAGTTCCAAAGAATAGCAAGGAGAGATAAGAAAGCCTTCCTCAGCGATCAATGCAAAGAAATAGAGGAAAACAACAGAATGGGAAAGACTAGAGATCTTTTCAAGAAAATTAGAGATACCAAGGGAACATTTCATACAAAGATGGGCTCAATAAAGGACAGAAATGGTATGGACCTAACAGAAGCAGAAGATATTAAGAAGAGGTGGCAAGAATACACAGAAGAACTGTACAAAAAAGATCTTCATGACCCAGATAATCACAATGGTGTGATCACTCACCTAGAGCCAGACATCCTGGAATGCAAAGTCAAGTGGGCCTTAGGAAGCATCACTACGAGCAAAGCTAGTGGAGGTGATGGAATTCCTGTTGAGCTATTTCAAATCCTAAAAGATGATGCTGTGAAAGTGCTGCACTCAATATACCAGCAAATTTGGAAAACTCAGCAGTGGCCACAGGGCTGGAAAAGGTCAGTTTTCATTCCAATCCCAAAGAAAGGCAATGCCAAAGAATGCTCAAACTACCGCACAATTGCACTCTTCTCACACACTAGCAAAGTAATGGTCAAAATTCTCCAAGCCAGGCTTCAGTAATACGTGAACCGTGAACTTCCAGATGTTCAAGCTGGATTTAGAAAAGGCAGAGGAACCAGAGATCAAATTGCCAACAGCCGCTGGATCATCAAAAAAGCAAGAGAGTTCCAGAAAAACATCTATTTCTACCTTATTGAATATGCCAAAGCCTTTGACTGTGTGGATCACAATAAACTATGGAAAATTCTGAAAGAGATGGGAATACCAGACCACCTGACCTGCCTCTTGAGAAACCTGTATGCAGGTCAGGAAGCAACAGTTAGAACTGGACATGGAACAACAGACTGGTTCCCAATAGGAAAAGGAGTATATCAAGGCTGTATATTGTCACCCTGCTTATTTAACTTATATGCAGAGTATATCATGGGAAATGCTGGACTGGAAGAAGCTCAAGCTGGAATCAAGATTCCTTGGAGAAATATGAATAACCTCAGATATGCAGATGACACCACCCTTATGGCAGAAAGTGAAGAACTAAAGAGCCTCTGAGGAGAGTGAAAGTTGACTTAAGGCTCAACATTCATGAATGGATAAGGAAGCTGTGATACATATACACCATGGAATATTACTCAGCTGTTAAAAAGAATTCATTTGAATCAGTTCTAATGAGATGGATGAAACTGGAGCCCATTATACAGAGTGAAGTAAGCCAGAAAGATAAAGAACATTATAGCATACTAACACATATATATGGAATTTACAAAGATGGTAATGATAACCCTATATGCAAAACAGAAAAAGAGACACAGATGTACAGAACAGACTTTTGGACTCTGTGGGAGAAGGCGAGAGTGGGATGTTTCAAAAGAACAGCATGTATATTATCTATAGTGAAACAGACCACCAGCCCAGGTGGGAAGCATGAGACAAGTGCTCGGGCCTGGTGCACTGGGAAGACCCAGAAGAATCAGGTGGAGTGGGAGGTGGGAGGGGGGATCGGGATGGGGAATACATGTAACTCCATGGCTGATTCATGTCAATGTATGACAAAACCCACTGAAATGTTGTGAAGTAATTAGCCTCCAACTAATAAAAATAAATGAAAAGAACAACAAAAAAAAAAAGCTCAACATTCAGAAAACTAAGATCATGGCATTAGGTCCCACTGCTTCATGGCAAATAGATGGAGAAACAGTGGAAACAGTGGCTGACTTTATTTTGGGGGGCTCCAAAATCACTGCAGATGGTGACTGCAGCCATGGAATTAAAAGACGCTTACTCCTCGGAAGAAAAGTTATGACCAACCTAGATAGCATATTAAAAAGCAGGAAAAAAAAAAAAAAGGCAGAGACATTACTTTGCCAACAAAGATCCGTCTAGTCAAGGCTATGGTTTTTCTAGTAGTCATGTATGGATATGAGAGTTGGACTGTAAAGAAAGCTGAGTGCTGAAGAATTAATGTTTTTGAACTGTGGTGTTGGAGAAGACTCTTGAGAGTCCCTTGGACTGCAAGGAGATCCAACCAGTCCATCCTAAAGGAGATCAGTCCTCGCTGTTCACTGGAAGGACTGATGTTGAAGCCGAAACTCCAATACTTTGGCCACCTCATGTGAAGAGCTGACTCATTGGAAAAGACCCTGATGCTGGGAAAGATTGAGAGCAGGAGGAGAAGGGGACGACAGGGGATGAGATGGTTGATGGCATCACCAACTCAGTGGACATGAGTTTGGGTAAACTCCGCGAGTTGGTGATGGACAGGAAGGCCTGGCGTGCTACAATCCATAGGGTCACAGAGCTGGACACGACTAAGCAACTGAACTGAACTGAACCACTGGATTGCTAGGGAATTCCCTATCTCTATTCTTTTCCCCTCTAGTCCTGACAATTCAAATAGCATTACTTGCCTCCAATCCTATTTAAACACAGTGCCCACGCAGACAGTGAAAATGTGGTAGTGTATTCAGAGGCTGGACATATGACCCAGAATCTGCAACCATTAATCTTTTTTTTTTTATTTTTTTTAATTTTTTTAAACTGTTTACAATATGTTTATTTATTTTTTTTTCCATTGTTGAAAATAGTTCATTTTTTTTTTTTTTTTTACATGTATTCCCCATCCCGGTCCCCCCTCCCACCTCCCTCTCCACCCAATCCCTCTGGGTCTTCCCAGTGCACCAGGCCCGAGCACTTGTCTCATGCACCCAACCTGGGCTGGTGAACTGTTTCACCCTAGATAATATACGTGTTTCAATGCTGTGCTCTTGAAACATCCCACCCTCGCCTTCTCCCAGAGTCCACAAGTCTGTTCTATACATAGGAGTCTCTTTTTCTGTTTTGCACATAGGGTTATCGTTACCATCTTTCTAAATTCCATATATATGTGTTAGTATACTGTAATGGTCTTTATCTTTCTGGCTTACTTCGCTCTGTATAATGGGCTCCAGTTTCATCCATCTCATTAGAACTGATTCAAATGAATTCTTTTTAATGGCTGAGTAATATTTCATGGTGTATATGTACCACAGCTTCCTCATCCATTCATCTGCTGATGGGCATCTAGGTTGCTTCCATGTCCTGGCTATTATAAACAGTGCTGCGATGAACATTGGGGTGCACGTGTCTCTTTCAGATCTGGTTTCCTCGGTGTGTATGCCCAGAAGTGGGATTGCTGGGTCATATGGCAGTTCTATTTCCAGCTTTTTAAGAAATCTCCACACTGTTTTCCATAGTGGCTGTACTAATTTGCATTCCCACCAACAGTGTAAGAGGGTTCCCTTTTCTCCACACCCTCTCCAGCATTTATTGCTTGTAGACTTTTGGATAGCAGCCATCCTGACTGGTGTGTAATGGTACCTCATTGTGGTTTTGATTTGCATTTCTCTGATAATGAGTGATGTTGAGCATCTTTTCATGTGTTTGTTAGCCATCTGTATGTCTTCCTTGGAGAAATGTCTGTTCAGTTCTTTGGCCCATTTTTTGATTGGGTCATTTATTTTTCTGGAGTTGAGCTGGAGGAGTTGCTTGTATATTTTTGAGATTAATCCTTTGTCTGTTGCTTCGTTTGCTATTATTTTCTCCCAATCTGAGGGCTGTCTTTTCACCTTGCTTATAGTTTCCTTTGTTGTGCAAAAGCTTTTAAGTTTCATTAGGTCCCATTTGTTTATTTTTGCTTTTATTTCTAAAATTCTGGGATGTGGGTCATAGAGGATCCTGCTGTGATTTATGTCGGAGAGTGTTTTGCCTATGTTCTCCTCTAGGAGTTTTATAGTTTCTGGTCTTACATTTAGATCTTTAATCCATCTTGAGTTTATTTTTGTGTATGGTGTTAGAAAGTGTTCTAGTTTCATTCTTTTACAGGTGGTTGACCAGTTTTCCCAGCACCACTTGTTAAAGAGGTTGTCTTTTTTCCATTGTATATCCTTGCCTCCTTTGTCAAAGATAAGGTGACCATAGGTTCGTGGATTTATCTCTGGGCTTTCTATTCTGTTCCATTGATCTATATTTCTGTCTTTGTGCCAGTACCATACTGTCTTGATGACTGTGGCTTTGTAGTATAGTCTGAAGTCAGGCAGATTGATTCCTCCAGTTCCATTCTTCTTTCTCAGGATTACTTTGGCTATTCGAGGTTTTTTGTATTTCCATACAAATTGTGAAATTATTCGTTCTAGTTCTGTGAAAAATATCGTTGGTAGTTTGATAGGGATTGCATTGAATCTGTAGATTGCTTTGGGTAGTATAGCCATTTTGACAATATTGATTCTTCCAATCCATGAACACGGTATATTTCTCCATCTGTTTGTGTCCTCTTTGATTTCTTTCATCAGTGTTTTATAGTTTTCTATGTATAGGTCTTTTGTTTCTTTAGGTAGATATACTCCTAAGTATTTTATTATTTTTGTGCAACCATTAATCTTATCTGACACAGGCATCAAGTGAAAAGACAGAAGGTGGAAGTCCTTACAGAGCACTCAGGTACCAGAGGGTGGGTTGGCAGGGCCCAGAGCTACATGTGAATGAACCACGGAGTCACTGGAAATCCTGTTGTTTTTTACCACCTATTGTATGGGTTATTGAGTAGCTTCTTAAGAGCTGTACCTAAATATCATCTTAAGAGTTATTCTTCTTATTTCTATGTTGCAGGTCTCAGTTTGAAGTGTTTCTTCTCTGTTTCCTTCATCACTGAGAGACCAAAGATCAAAGTCCAGGTTCACCCTTAGTTCTTTCTCCCAGAGTCTCCATCATGCTGCGTCTTCATAAGTTTTGTCTCCTTCTCAAAGATGCCTCCTTGCTCTGGGTGCACAGGTCCCAGGTCATGTCCCATCAGCTGTCCCACACTCTGCCTTAACCACCTGGCCATCAGGCTCTCCAACAGGGCATTATATGCTTCTCCCAGGTACAGTTGTGTCTCACAGGAGAAATCCAGGCAGCAGACAGTATTAATATCTTTATCTAGTACTCTGTCCACACCAAGAAGGTGAGAGAGATAATTGGTACCCAAACTTCCTTTTTTTTTTTTCATTTATTTTTATTAGTTGGAGGCTAATTCCAAACTTCCTTTTAGAGGACGAGAGTAGCCAGAGCTGCCCCTGGAATCCATATCACAGCCAGGCCTGTAGTGTGGAGTGGGGTGGACAGACCTGAAATCACTGACAGGTATTTGCTGGAAATCACCCATCAAGAATTTCAGTTTTGCTGAACTGTTAAACCAGCAACACAAATTCCAGATATTCTGAGAAGAAATATCAGATTGGCAACATGAAAATTAATTGGTATCCAACTGCTAGCATCTAGACCCAGCTGGAAGGAATGTTCAGGCAAACAGAATCTGGTGTGATGTTTTTAGCTGCTGAGAGGGAGCCAGGCCTCTTAGCTTTGCTGTTTGTGTCGGTTCCCAAGGGAACTTGAGTCGAAAAAGCCCCCTCCAGTTTTCTCAGTTTTTTGTTGCCCATTTGCTAGATGCCTCGCCTGAAAGAAGTGATGTGAATCTTGTGAACCAGAACCTTGGAAATGACTCTGACAATTTCAGATGGGAGAGAGAGTTTCAACGATGAAAACTTTTTCTCTTAAAAAAAAAAAAAAATCTCATACCCTTTTCAGTATTTCGTATTCTGGTACAGATACTCAATAAAATGCACGGAAAATGACTTGAGGCATAATTTTGATAAATTCAAAATCAATAGTAAAATATAAAGGGAAGTGCTTTATTAAGTAAAAAAATAATTGTTAAAAATATTAACATAAGCAGAGGTTGACTTTAGGCATCCGGGGATGTTTTATTGTTCCCCATCCTGGCTTGTCCTTTATATATCTAACTTTTTTTTCTGGTAAGAAGGTAGATTTTAGAGGGAAAAAACTTATCTCATTTTAAAAGCAGTCGCATGAAGCAGATATTATGTTCACCTTTGTTTTACAGGTGAAGACACAGACTCAAAGAAGCAAGGTCTTGTCCCCAGGTTGCACGCCTCAAAAAAATCTCTGCATCCTCTTATTGCAGCCCTTCTACTTCTGCTAAAGGCATACACTGCCTGCATTTGAAACTGAACAAAGGTGGAAATTCTCTTACCCAGGCTGTAGAAGGGGTCTGGGGAAGACAGGGTGAAGATCCGGAGACACTGGTGCAGAAGGCAGACAAGCCCCTGCATGAAGAATGTGTGGACAGCAGGGGGCAGCAGTGTCCTTGGAGCCTGTGCTTGTCCCTTGCAGTTCTTAGAAAGCAAGGTCAATAAGCACCACAGGAGCTGATCCTAACACCTGCCCTCTGCTCTCTGACTTGCCTCCCACCCCTCATCTGCCTCTGGCTGAGCCAAGGGGACTGTCTTGATGTCTAGTGGAGAAAGGGTGCTTTCTCTGCTGTGTCTCCCTGAGGAACTCACAGGGGAGACTGGGAAACATGACCTGCAGGTCATTTACAGCGGAAAGGCTCTCACTGAGATCATTAATGTCCTGTACAATGCTGTGAGCTTTGGTACCCTCTCTGTTCCTTGACATGCTTTTCTGTACAATGGGGTAACAATGGCCACCTGTCTTGCAGGGTCACTGAGATGACTGAAGGAATGGAGATGATATATATGTAGTCTTACAACAGCATAGTGAATGCAACACATGCTCCTCATTAGTATTGTTCTTTGTAGACAGCTCTATCACTGCAGTGGGCTCTTTCATACGTCAGCATCTCACTCCATCCTTCCTCCATATTTTGAGATGTAGATACTACAGACCGAACAGAGAAGGACTCCGAGGTTAAGCCAGAGGAAGTAACACTAGCATGAACTCTGCAGTCAGATGAGGAAGTCAGATTCCTCTGGGGTGTGAGACCACATGCAAGTTACTTAGTGCTTTGGAGCCTCCATTTCTTTGTCTGTAGAATGGTGCCAATATTGCCTACCTTGTGTGTTTGTTGTGAGCACTAAATAAAACAAAACATATGAAGCCCTCTAGTATAGTTCCTCTTATGTAGTAACACTTAAAATTATTAACAGGGTATCCTAAAACATACAGAAAAGTGTTGAAATAAAATTCACATTTTAAGACAAGAGAAATTTAAACGTAAAACTTTTTCTCTGCCCTTTGGCCTCTTCCCTCCCCTCTAGGGTACATTGTGCCTCTGCATTATGTGTTAACCAGATCTTCCCAAGGGCAGAAATACCTGTTCAACCATGAAAATCAATTTTTCTCCTTCTGGTGCCAGCCCTATAACTCCTTAGAAGATAACATTCCTTTCTCAGTCCTGTAAGGGGTCACAATAACTCACCACCCACCTTGTACGTGCAGGCGTCTTTGGTGAACTTAATGTACAATGTCCATACACCATCCCTTAAAGCAGAACAGACTGGTCAGACAACCTGGGGGGATACTGGCCCCCAGCTAATGGAAGTTCTCAGTTTAAATACTTGCCTATGATCTTATCAATGTTACTTGTATTTTGCCTATTTTACAAGATTATTATTTCTTGTATTATCAAATATGTGATTGAGCCTCAGGTAAAATTAATGATTAGGTGACTTGAAATGATTGGCCAAATACATAGTCCAGTAAGATCAAGGATTGGGCTTCCCTGGGGGTTTGTGGTAAAGAATCCACCTGCCAATGCAGGAGACACGAATTTGATTCCTGATCTGGCAAGATCCCACATGCCACAGAGCAACTATGCTCGTGGGCCACAACTATTGAGCCTGTGCTCCAGGGCCCAGGAACCACAACTACTGAGTGCAAGGGGAGCAGCTACTAAAGCCTGCGCTCCCTGAAGCCTGTCTACAAGAGAGGCACCTCAAGGAGAAGTCCACGCACCGCAGCTGGAATAGCCCCTGCTCACCACGACTAGAGAAAAGCCCCACACAGCAACAAAGCCCAGCACAGCCATAAATAATATATAGAGTTCTGTATATCTCTCTCTATGTAGATAGATATGTGTGTGTATGTATATGTATACACACACATATACAGGTCAAGGATTGTAATAGTGGAACTCTAGGTATGGGAAGAAGCAACAAGAGGGAACCATTTACTCAACAATAACAGACAGATGGTCCAGAGGCTTTGGGCTGCTCTTCACAGGGCCTGGTCCAGGAATAGCACATGGAGTGGTCTTTTAACGAAATACTCGCCTGACCTGGGATGTCTAGCACGGTGAGACAAATTGGTCACTACATGCCTCCCAAACTTCAGTTAAAATTAAGACCGAAAGGGAAGGAATTGTAAAATAAAGAATGTTGCTCACCATCCAGTTCTACAAGAATCAAATCATCGGTTGCTGCAGTTTGGTATATCAGAGAAAGGAATTCAGGGTGAAGATCTGGAATGAGGCACTCTGTGCTCTGGGAAATCTGGCAGAAGGCCTTCAGATATTAGGCAGAAGGCCTTAGATATTTTAAGGAAAAATTTTTTATAGCCTGGATTCTTATACCTTCCCATACTTAGAAAAGCACTACAAACATCATCTAAGATGTCTGTTCCTCGTGACTAGCAACAATCTCCTACTGAGATGTGTACTTCATTACATGCACCTCTTTATCAAAAGCACATTACTGACCTCTCCCCTTACCTCTTCAGAGCAGTTCCCCAGAGTATCCACTGTCTCCTGGCCTATAGTCCTCTGGCTGGCTCAAATAAAACTTTCCGTTTCTTTCTTTGATGATTGATTAATTTTTTTCCTTGACAAATTTATAAGGAAAGCAAGTAAAGTTACTCATGATCCTACCACTCAGAAATAACCCTGTTATTATCATGATGTGTTTTTTTCCCCATAGTGTTTATACATAACATGGCTGAGATCACATCACACATGTACTAGTGAGATGACCCTAAGAAAGTGGCAGAGCTGGGCTGACATTCCGGGGTGGCTGGCTCTGGGTTCAGACCTTCCTATATAGCCATTTCCCTGTATTGCCTCTAAAAAGTTAAGGCTTATATCCATTTTGAGAAGCTGATGAAAAAATATTTAAATGTTTTAAGTTTGGAAATATACACTTATATTCAAAAGCACGTAAAGAAACCAGAAGTAGCCAAAATAATCCTACCATATAGTTAAAAGTTGGCATTTTGCCTGGAAAAGTATTAGTGTTTCATGTGGAAAAAATGTTAATTTCTATTTCTGTGTAGCCAACATTTTAATTATTAAAACATTACTGTTCAAGCTCTTAAAATGAGTAAAATTGGTAAAATGAGTAAATGAGTCAGTTGACAAAGTGATTAAATTGACAAATCGAGTGAACTGATTATGTCATAGATTGGGTTTTGGGGGGGCACTGAATTTTGGCAAATTGCCCTGCTTTTATTGGAGATGGAGTATTGCTTTATTGGAATTGGAGATACATACACAGACACACTTATTGAGTGAATAAATAACATGGATGAATGAATAAACTGAATTCTGCTATAATAGAAACGATCTTTTTAAAATTCTTTACATGGTGTAACGGCTTTACATGCTGTCAGCATTTTAAGGAACTTGAGAGTTGCCTGAGACAGAAATTCTTGTTCTGGATCACAAGTATTCACTGTGTGCATATTCCTACTTCAAATACATACTCACGGCTGACTGGCTGCTTAGTGAGAGCCCGTGCTTCCTGTGGGTTCTTGGTCTAAGCCCCACACACTGTGAGTGAGCTTGGGGTCAGAAGAACGAGGTTCCCACCTCCACAGGCTTATGCATCACTAGTCCCAGAACACTGGGTAGCCAGCGCACCTCTGAAACGCTTCCTCACCTGTAAGACGGGTGCTGTTCTGACCCCTGCCCCACCTTGTTCCCGGCATACAAGGTGAGGGAAGTACCAGAGAATACCAGTTCACTGTTGCGACAATGATTAGGCCTCAGGGTCTGAAGTGAGCTGGTGTGGTGGGGGGAGCCCTGGGGAGAGGGCCACTGCTCCCCTTTGCTCTGGTTGCTGCTTTTCTGGCCACTGGTACCCATGATAGAGAGACACACAGACCCATTAAACTGCCTTCCTCAGGCCACCTGCCATGAAGAGCAAACACCAGTGGCTTTACAGCCAGTGCATCCTCACAGCTACTTCCGGCCTG